AATAGACCCCATTGCCTGATACCGGATGGCAGTGTCCAGCGGTCCAGTATTGGCAACACTGACCCACCAATGACTACAACTGCCACGGAGTACCACATGACCACAACGGGCACCGGGGTCGACTTAAGTTTGCGCAAATTGATCAGGGAAAGTGCTGATGTTATCGCTGCGGTCAGCGCAAATACTAAGCCAATCGAGCGCTTGTCATACTTGTCCGGACCATCCGAACCAAATATGAACTCGGGTTTAGATATGATAAACACCCCAATTACTGTAATTATCCCGGTGATTAGCTGAACTACGTTGGGCCGATCTCGCAGTATTAGGTATGCAAATACTGTAACAAATATTGGTGAGGCTGTGGTCGAGTCAGATAGGGGCATTAGTCGGTATGATGTGTACAGGGTGATTAGCGATGTGGTACCCGTGATGCACCTTGTGAGTAGGTCCCATCGGTGACCCGGTTCCCCAAATACTGGGTATCCTTTCCATACAGTTATGATGAAGTAGGGTATGAATTGAAATATGCATCTGAGTTTGCAATAAATTAAATATTTATTAATTTGATACAGTATATTCAGTATTTACTAAACAATTTATTTAGATAAAATATTATATTGCATTTTGGCCATTTTATTATGTGTGACAATTATGAGGGCAATAAGATATTGTTCATAGAAATTATATACAAAAATTACTCATGGTAAAACATTTAAGACATTTACTATAATATAGTATATAGTATAATATAGTATATATTATATAAGTTGAGTTTGATAAATAATGGATCAACTTTGTTTTCAATTTAAATATTTATTTTTAATATTTATAAGAATAAAAATATATAATATAATTATTAACAGTTTAATTAAGTAGATAGCTTAAATTATAAAGATCATTATTACCTAAAAACGAGTATTTCTATTGCATGCAAATCTGTTAATAACTTTGCTATAAGCGATCCCAACGAAAACATTGTAACGCCTAATCAATTAATCAACAAAAATTAACTAAAAATTTTGTTAACATTAATTAATTACATACCAATTAAAGCACATATAATACCAAACGCCGGTATGCGCTCGGGTAGCGATTTTTTATTAATTTTTTGTTTACTTTCCATCTCGATCATTGTCGGTTCTGGTATGTCCAGTTTTATTGATAGATTTGCCACGGTCATTTTTATAATTTAATATTTTATTAATAATAAG